CCGAGTACAAGGACATGAACCCGCGGGCCAAGGCGGTGGTCGAGGGAATCGCCAAGGCGCGCGGCAGCGATCCGGCGAACATCAACAACGTGTGGAAGGCGCTGGCCCGCCATCCCGATACGATGGAGCGCTTCGCCGCCGGAGATGAAGGCGGTGATGGCGCCGGGTGCGCTCGACGGCCTGACCAAGGAGCTGATCTATCTCGCCGTGTCGGTCGCCAACCAGTGCGACTACTGCATCAACTCGCACGGATACATGGCGCGTCAGAAGGGCATGACCGAGGAGATGTTCGGGGAATTCATGGCGGTCGTGCTGGCCGCGCAGAAGGGCAACAAGATCGCGACGGCCTATCGCGTGCCGGTCGACGCAGCATTCGAGGAGAAGTGACGTGAGCGAGCCGAAGTCCACGACATGGGATGCCAATCTCTACCTGAAGTTCGCCGACCATCGCATGCGGCCCGCCCTCGACCTGATGGGCCGGCTCGATCCGGCGAACGGGGCGCGGCCCGGTCACGCGATCTACGACCTGGGCTGCGGCGCCGGTAACATCTCGCGCATCCTCGCCGAACGCTTCCCCGAGGCGCCGGTCATCGGCATCGATTCGTCGGAAGAGATGCTCGCAAAGGCGCGCAGCCAGACGGTCGATGCCCGCGTCACCTTCGACAAGGGTGACCTCGCGCACTTCAAGCCGAGCCTGCCGCCCGGCATCCTCTACAGCAACGCCGCCTATCAGTGGCTCGACGGCCATATCGACATGTTTCCCGGTCTGCTGAAGCTGCTGCCGTCGGGCGGCCAGCTCGCGATCCAGATGCCGCGCAATCACGAGGCGCCCTCGCATGCCTCGATGCATGAAGCGGCCGTCGCAGGTCCTTGGCGCGACAAGCTCACCAGGGTGCGCCCGATCGTTCGCGTCGAGGAGCCGGAGCGCTATTACGACGCGCTGAAGCCGCTCTGTTCGGAACTCGAAGTCTGGGAGTCGATTTACCAGCAGCCGCTCACCGGCAAGGATCCGGTGGCGCAGTACACCTCGTCGACCGGCCTGCGGCCCTATCTCGAACTGCTGCAGGAGCCGGAGCGCA